GGAGAATTTGAATAAGGATTTTATGCAGAGGCGCAAGTTGGATTGCGAAATCCAATTTTTTCATGAAAAATTAGGTTTGGAATTTGAAAACTTTTGAAAAAATTGTACGGATTACCATAGTGTGGCCAACATGTTTTGTCTGATTGCAGCTCTAGTGGAACTTAGGTGACAATAATGAACGAAGGAAGAAAGAAACCACTTGTATCGTAAGTTCGACCAGTCGGTGGGTTAGGTAGACGTGTCGCTCCATCACGCCTTCAAACCTTACAACCTCTATACTAGACAGCTAGCCTGGCTCACATTATTATGTCTTGACTCATAACTATCCGACTAATAGTCCATTGTTTGGCAACTGGTCTAATCTTCCTATACCAAATTTCCAATATCAATGACGACCCAATTTTCATAACAATCTTCGATCAACAAGGAAAAAAATTACATGTAACGAAGTGCATATAGGGCTGAGCTATAAATTTAACTAAAAGAGGACACCTTAAAGAGTTCAAGCTCCTTTTCGGTGAGGAGGCCACCTCGGCTTCGTATTGGAGCCCTTTGATTTTATACAAGGCCCAAAAATTAATGTGTAACGTTATATATATTTTACAGATTGAAAAATGAAAATTACGGCTCTTCCCTTTTTTCCAAGACTTCTTCACGTGATGCTTTCTCTTCAGGCTTCTTCACGTGTTGTGCAGCAGCACCATTCCCCCAAAAATTTCCTCTTCTTTCAGAGTTTTAGTGTGTTTGTTAAAAGTTTAGGGGAGAGATTGGTTACGCTCACCACTAGCGTCAAGATATATTTATAATGTTGAGTCGGAAAGACTTATGTATGACACCTAACTGGTAGTTGCTATTTGTATTTATGTAGGAATTTATAGATTACGCAGTAACGAGGACTGCAGGTAGAAAGACTCAAATCTTAATGGAACGATACACAAGGCAGGAACCTTGCCAACTGAGTCAACTATCGTTAGCTTTTCTTTCAATTTTTTGTTTGGGAGAAAGGGAAGAATTATTTTTCAAAAAGCAAGAAAATTTTTTGAATGACATTAAAAATATATATATTATTTAATTACTTATTAAAAACAACTCTTTTAAATTTCTACTTTAAGCGCCACTTAGTACTACGGTCTATGTATTTCTTTTCATTTGTAAGTAACATGCTTTAAATTTGATTTTCATTCAAAGCGAATTTGAATCAAATTATTATAGCTAGCTTATTGTGGTTTAACCCATTTTTTCACCAATTTCTCTTAATGTAGATAATATTAAATGTATTTTAAAAATTCCTCTTAAGACTCATTTCTTATAGGGATGGCTCTGCCTCTGCCCCAATTCGTCTCTCTTGCGACATAATATACCCATTAACAAACCAATGAGTTAGTCCTCCAAAAGCAAATAACAAGGCACCACCCTATGTCATCAAATCTGTTACTTGGTTTTTGTCGTTAAGTACCCAGATACATGAAAAGTCACATGTTAATAATTCAAGTCAAATATTAGCTTGGGATCCCAGGACCGAATGATGGGTGCCTGCCTCCTCTTTTTTTCCGGGAAACAAACTTAAATTAAGTTATCAAAAAGCACTTCCATTGATAGCTTTTGGCTTTAGAATTTAGGTGATGCTGCACGGATCATTATAAGTAGAAACCCCACGAAGCAGAAACCAATTGATGTCCTTTAAACTGCTGCTTTTGCTCAAAATCTATAAACCAATATGTATTGAAATGAACTTTTTTGATTTTTCAAATGTGCTGGCTTGATTTTCCGCCGACTAGAAACTGCTGCGCTGACCAATGACTACTAATTAGAAAGTGTTTTTGGGTTAAATTTCAAAAGACATGGGACACCTGCCATGATAAACGGCACTTTGCATAATTCCCATGTCATTATTTCCTCAGCTTTTAGTTTTAGGGCTTGGAAGGGTCGAGACATGGGACTCCAAAGTCATAACCATCAAACACACAGCTGCAAATTTCCAATTATAAAATATCATAATTCATACAATATTTGATGTAATGCATAACATATGACATATCATATATCATATATGGTATGTAAAAGTAGGCAGCAACTTATAATATACTGCTATTGTAACCTTTTATATTAATGGTAAAATAATTTGTAGACAAAAATTTACACATATTTTATATTATTAATACAAGACGTTACAGTAAAAACGTACTTATATCATATACGTACTCCTAAAAATAAGAACTTTGGCATATAGCAAATCGGCATCCACCTTCTCTTCTTGGTCAAAGAATTAATGAAAGAAAATTGCATGGATTCACCCCTCTGTCATATATGACATTAATTTGTCCAAACTCTCCGGAACTTATGCAACTTATTGGAAATTAAGCCGCCAGAGACCCATGCACGCAACCTCTTGCAGGTTGCTGGGTACGTGAAGTAATTGGCATGTATTATAGCTTAACAGTGATCAGTTCGTAATTTATACAGATGTTTGCGTATTGGATTGTTTGATTAAAGAATATGTTATAATTAAGCTTTAGCAAACTCAATCGTGAAATTGTGAATTAAAATATTATGGCGTGTTCTATCTGTCAACCAACTATATATATAATACAAATTAAGCCTGCTCGTGTACTTAATTACTCTCATAATTAATTATGTATTATCACAATACCATAGTTCCTACCCAAAATAAAATAATAATTAATTGTGTACTATTTTAATTTCTTTACATGCAAACGTAGCTATAAATAATTGAAGTTTGAGCAACCCTGGTTAGTTGTGACCCACTCCATTAACATGAAAATGAAATAAAACTAAACGGCAAGTTGAACTAATTGAAAATGAAACAAAACTAAACTGATTATCAAGTTAATTAATGTCATAAATGAACGCACCAATTGAAGCATATTCCCTTCTATTACGTACCGTGTGTGTCAAGTTACGTAATTGTGCATCCAACCCTATCTCAAGCTGTTAGTGCATATCCTTTGTATTGGCATTTTCCTAACAAGTTGAGACTTGATGTAAGGATCAACTTTACTCAAGCTATAGAAGATCAAGTCCAATCCATGGTCGTTGTTCTACAGTTTCTATGTCACAATCTCAAGTTTAGGGCGGTAATTAAGTAAGACTTCGAGATGTACATACATTCTTAATTAGACGGTTTAGAAGCATGAAAATGTTTTTCTGCGTGTGCAGGATTGAAGTGTCATTTCTATCCTATGGTGTTTTGGAAGCTAATTAGGTCTAATTAAATTAAGCTAACTCAGTTATTTTATATAATCATATTAACGTTTCTTTTAAGGCTTATAATTTTGGCGTGGATTAATATGAGTGGCAGGTGCAGGTCCTTACTAGTTTTAGATGTAAGGCTTTGAAAATAAAGCCCCTCAGCCTTGAAGGCTTGGTGCTAGGGTTTACACATGAAACATTATCTATAGGCTAGCTTGTTGCACAGAAAGTTGCACACAGAATAGAGGGAATCACTTATACTTTAGAGAGAAAATATTCTATGCTTGTAAACAGTTTTTCATGAGTTAGTTCATGTGCATATATCATGTTCCTAGAAGATATGTCCTGTGTTTGAGATTTTTCCAGGGTTTCATCACAATGCCATATCTTGAGATTATGTGTGGAATATCCTGTGGAGAAGAGTCGTGAAGCGAGATTGTCATAGTGGCGAAAGACAAAGTAGCAGCTGTGCAAGTCCTGGGAGTCTTGGGGTGTCCTTGTGTGCTAGGCTAAGGTTGCGTCATGGTGCTTGCATAAGTCTATTAGATGAGTCTTCTAAAGTTACTTTTCTAATAGTGGATTTGTTTCATTGGTTGTGTGCCCGAGGATGTTTCTCCATATATTGATGTTTTACCTCGCAAAACCCTTGTATCCTATGATTTAGTTTATGCACTTTATTTATCTGTGTAATAAGATTGATATTTGCTTTCAGTCCTGATGTCTGATTATTATTTGCACCGCTTGTTACACTTGTTAATCAAACTTATTTTCTATTTCTACTGTATACATAATTAACGTGATTAATAATTCAAGTTTATGAAAATTAGATTAAGCTTATTCACCCCTCCTCTAGGCTTTGTGTTACAACCTATTGTCTTCACAAGCTCAATCCACTTGCAGCTTTTCAACAATTTTAGATTCACTAGTTATGAGAGCCTTTCAGTGTAATACTGAGATTACCTACTTCAATTCCAAGACAGCCAACTTTGTGTTGGTAAATCTAACATCACCCTTTTCTCTAAATACAATAATCCAATTTTGTATAAGTTTATCATATGAGTAACTTCATTTTAAGTATTGTTAATTGATTCTTGCATACTTAACCATTTGAGGCTAACATAATTTTTTTAGTATACGATATACCTAGAATGGGCTCCATATATTTTCTCCAAACCCATAAATCCTAAACATGTAAGTGATTTTCACACTCTCGTTTTTTTTTTTGTGCATTTATTTTCTTAATTTATTCTGTAGATTTTTTTTTTTTGATTCATTTAATTATACGACTAAAAACAATGACATAAGTGCAAAAAGAGAAAGAAAAAAAAGAGTGCGAACCATTTCCCCTTAAAGCATAATCACACATTAATCCGTCACTTCTTCATGCATATCATATATTTACCTTAATTAAAACTAAAATACAAGGTGGCGGGTGTACCCGTTTAACCACTTTTACTCATGTGAAGCATCAAAGACGAGAAGTTTCCAAACCCTTTCCTCTCCAAACATTTTCCCCAGAACCAAACAGAAAATAAATATTACCAAGACACTCGAACAAGGATAAAAAATGAGAAGTTTCCAAAACCTAGTGAAGAAGCAACAATGGGAACAGGTCATCATGACGAGGACTAAGCAAAGTCTCTACTGGGCCACACCATCCACCTCCCCCCACCTATTAAACCCTCTTCCTTCATAACAAACCAAAAAACGCCAACCAAGCCATAAGCGCTCCAAAGAGCCCCCAGCGCGCGAGGTCCTCCGACCTCCGCCGCACATCCCCCCACCCACAACGCCCGGGCGGTGGCTGCGCCCATGTCTGAACACCACCTGCCGCCTCCTCCTCCACCGCTCTACAAGCAGCGGTCGTGGTCCCCCGACGCATACCGCGACGAGGCATGGCACCGCCGCAAGAAAATCAACGGCAGATCGAACCTCCAGCGGAGCAAAAGTGTCACTGACGAAGACCTCGACGACTTGAAAGCCTGCATCGAGCTAGGGTTCGGGTTTGACTCGCCCGAGTCGGATAAGCGACTCGCTGACACTTTTCCCGCGTTGGGACTTTACTACGCGGTTAACAAGAATTACTGTGACTCGGTTTCTAATAAGTCTACGGCGACTCCAACGACGTCGTTTTCCCCGACGCCGTCCGAGTGCGACTCGGTGACCTCCCCCATCGGCAGCCCCCATACCATTATCGGACCAGGTATGTATATATATTTTCACGTGATTTTAAAAATAGACAGGGTTTTGTTTCTTCTTCATTTATTCATCATGTTTATGATTCAAGTTCCTTACTTTCTGTTTGTTTCTCGGGAAAATGTAATGTTGGGTGCAGGAGATACGCCGCAGACGGTGAAGACGCGGCTGAGGCAGTGGGCCCAGGTGGTTGCTTGCACGGTGAGACAGGGTTCGTGAGATCAATGTAACAAACCAGAGTTAAAATTGTAACCAAAACATCAACGTCAAACTTTGTCAATGATTGTTGTTTATGATTCCAATTTCCCCCCACCCCACCGACTTTGCTTGCATGGATTAAAAATAAGGCCAAATGGGATTAATTGTCACAATCTTTCTAATGCACTATCACAGTACCATTAACCTGATTTGGCCTAAAAATAATAACTGGAGGGATTAAAATTTTGAAAAGTAGTTGTTTAGAGTTATGTGAACTAACTTGTACTAGGATGGATTGACCTTTTGCTTTTGGTTTTTCTTTGGTTGGTAATCTGGCAATGTTCTGATTCTATTTGTCTGCTCTTTTTCTTTTTCTTTTTTTTTTCTCATTTAGTTGAATTAATTCATCAGTCTGTCTGTCTGAATGTTTATGTCCGACACTTTGATTCTGTAATTTGAATGTAACAAATTATAATATACAATGCACTCCAACATGATGTCTTCTTTTTCTTTTTGTTTGTTTGTTTTTTTCAAACAATGCATGCTTATCCCTAGCTCGCATAGAACTTTCCAAGAATATTCCCCGTCTTAATTTTTGATACTCCGGTTTTGATGATGAATAAATAAATCTTTTAACAAAAGCGGTAGAATTTTCATTACCAAGAACAACAAGTATAATAGGTATGGGTACATATTTTTCAATAACAAATTTTTTGATTTGGAGATAATTCGTAAAAAATATAAATGAATTAAACCCCTATACGGCTACCGCAAAAGACCATTAGAACCAAGAGTGTTCCAGAATAGATTTGTTACAAAAGACGATAGACGTGACAAACTTTAACACCGAGACCCTCACACAAAGCTACTGCAAAAAGCAACGCTACCAAAGATCGTCGAGGCAACACAAAACTGCTTATACCCTTCACTTTAAAGTGATTTTGAAAATGAGTCGCACCATTTTAAAATTCTCATATTGCATCAGAAGATATTAAAATTGTATCCGCTTATTTTTTTAGTCTAATTGACTGTTTGATCCTTCAATAAATTGATGAAGCGATAATTAAGCATGAGACTAACATATGAGCTGAAGCGATATGTAAACCACATTTGCGCCATATTTATAAATAAATAAAAATGCATCAAGTTAATGGATCCTCATGACCCATTTTGACCAATAAAGGTCTAAATTGATTACAATTTCAAAATTTTATAGTGTAATGTGAGAAAATTGGATCCTCATAGCCTATTTTGAAAATTGGATATTAGTCCCATAAAGCGTGGGAACACTTCGTGGTCTTTACCTGAAAAAAAAAAAAAAAAAAAAAAAAAAAAGGGCAAAGCGTTCCATTCCTAAGGGATATAAAATATAATTAGCCCTAAAATAAATGTTAAATTACATGACACTGTTAACCACAAGGAATGTTTTGTCTTTTACTTTTGCATGGTAAACTAAGGAAACTGAACAGGAAAGAGGAGGGCGGCTAGACTCATGCTCTTTCTTGAAGAGGAAGGCAGTGAAGCTAACTGTATAAGATTCTGTTCACATGTTATACTTTAATCTTAAGGAAAACTAATGAAAATGATTTGAAAATTTTGAGTTTTAATGATAAGGACAAAATAAAGGGTAAAGTGAATAGTACCAAGTTTGACTTTTTAGTGTAAAAATATGGTTTTTCGTTAAAATAAACAGTACCGTGAGTTTTTCGTTAAAACTCCCTTAATCTTAATCCATTACTGTTTAAGATTACCTATTAACAAAACATTTTAGTTTGGTCGGTGATATAGTGCGTGGATACTTTAGCTTGCTTATCGTGGGTGTTACAGTAATTTACTCGATAATGCTTAAATCGGCAGATTACTTTAAAAAGCCATTCAACTGCAACAATGTCAATGAATATGTGGTTTTTAGCCTATTTAATTAAAAGCATTTGTTTTTGCAATCAACTTCTCGTTTGAATTTCCTCCTGTAATTTAAAAAAATTTAAGAGTAAATGATCTTATTTTTCTTTTAAATATATAAACTGAGTTTGAAGTGTTAATCTCAATCGAAATGGTGTGTATGCTGCGTTGGTCTTTTGTTATGACTATTGAATTTAGGCGGTGGATTTAAATTAAAGTGAAGAAAACAGGTTGGCTCCAACAAGCACTACCAAAAACACTAAGCATATGGCCTTTATCGTTGCCAAGATTATTAAAACTTTAAAAACATGCTCATGCCTATGACTTTTTATATGATGTATGCATACTGATTTAAAGACATATTCTCCTGTAGCTGAAAATGGTACCAATTTTTTTACATGATTTTTGACACACTTTTTTGTGAGTTCACTCCGTAATATATTTTTAATGACCCGAATTGTCTATCTTTTAGAACATCATTCATAGATTATCCTTGCAAAAAATTAGACCAATCCAAAATGATTAAGACATTCATTTATGGTGAAAAAACAGCTTTTTAGCCAAAATGGTCTCTGAGATTTGCATAACTCCTCACTTTGGTCCATGACATTTAAAATAGATAGAGTTGGTCCCTGAGTTTGTTCACAATCAATCACTTTAGTCATTCGCTGAAAAATCTCCATAAAATAAGAATAAAATGATAAAAATACCCTGTCAAATCATTTTGGCATATTGTTTATTAAATTGAGGCTAATTTTGTCATTTTGATCATTATTTAACATAATTTTTCACTCAAGGACCAAAATGATTGATAGTGGACAATCTCAGAGACCAAAATGAGGAGTTATGCAAATCTCAATGACCATTTTGGTTACAAAGCCAAAAAAAAAAAAATACGGTTCTACAAACAAACCCTAAACTCTTAATCCATTTGTCATATGAATTCGGTTTGAGTGACTTTTGGTAGACATGATATCTGAGGGAATACCTAACAGATATATGATTCGGATCGTTGAAATACATTACGAAGTGGGATCTACAAAAATGTGTGTCAAAAGTAGTGTAAAAAATATATATTTTGTGGCATAACTTTTGACACACGTTTTGGTATACCAAAAAATCACACGAATCCGAAACCATATGACTGTTGGATCAAAGGTTTAGGCTTTCTTTGTAGAACTGTATTCGTCCATTTTCTTCACTACAAATGAATTTCTTAATGATTTTGTATTTGTCTAATTTTTTGCATGCATGATTGATGTTCTAAAAGATAGACGGTCCAAACTGTTAAAATATATTATAAAGTGAGCTCTACAAAAATGTATGTAAAAAAATTATGTAAAAAAGTGTCACGAATCTGCTCATATATATCCTTACATGTCTTAAATTTACTAAGTGAATGTGATATTATTTTAATCCACTACATTCCAAGTTTTGTTCCGTTAGTATTAAAAACCTCACATAAATACTACCCTACAAAAGAAAATGGCATCTAAAATTCCAAATCATTACTTGTAATTATCATGGTGGTCCATTCATTAAAATTTCCAACCAATTTGCCATAGGTGTGGGCCGACCTGGGCCCAGAGTTGTGATCTGTTACAAGATGTCTGCAGACCCAATATCGAAATATGTAGTTGGTTGTCATGATTTTGCCTACTTCTCAAGTCTCTGCAACACAATGACGTTGTACGCTACCACTTGGGCACAGCATCTTGATCGGTTCCTGACACGCTGTGGCGATTGCGGTGATCGTTTTGAACACATGCATTTGATTATTAGATCATATATATGATTGCCCATGGTCATCTGAGTTTCTGGCTCAGGTGACAAGAAAAGGTCTAGGGTTGGATTCTTAGATTCGATGTTAATAAGTTTATCCTCTGCCGAAAAAACTACCATTCCCACCTTTATTGCAGTATTACTGTGTTCTTAATTTTTTTTTCTTTTCTTCTGATTTATGTTTTTTTATGTAATAAATGAGAAGGGGCACAAACATTGACGCAAGTGTTGGTGTCAAAACTTGGATAGTGCCTTACTAAGTTCAACATGTTATTTGTTCCAGATGTTGCTATCGGTCTCAATGCCACGAGATGACTTGAGAAAAACAGAAAATGGACGTGTGGTTATGTAGGATCACATAGGTTTGCACTAAGGTTAGACTTCTTAACCAAAATGAATGTACACCTAATGAGACTCTAGTTCGGTTAAGTTCTTTCTTATGCCTAAAGTGAATGAAGACTTGAAATCCAATGTGAAATATGTGTTTGTCTAAGTTTGTTGATGAAAACTGATTGTATTCATTCATGATTGAGTCAAGATTACAAACATTCATAAGCAACGCAGGCTGATAAACCAATTTACATAGTGAAAAGTAAATAGACTTCAAAATGTAAAGAAAGCAGTAAAACTCTAGCAAGATTCAAGTCATGAAGGGCAGGATAATGCTAGAGGAGTCCGTCAATATTGCTAGTATCGGGTTGACCTGGAGGGAAGACATCGCTTCAAAGAGGTGATCTAGGTTCGTAGAAATGTTCGTCAGCTAAACCATACTATGTGCTATAAAGCAGTAAGAGTTTTAGATCTCATGAATCATAGGTTGGATTCACTTTGAAGAAAACTTGGGATTGTAGTTGAAGAGCTAAGAGATTTGCTGAAGAGCAATTGGATTGTGCTGAAAAAAAAAAAATTGGTTAATTGAAGAATCACTTGAATTTTGTAATCGTAGAGATGGATTTAACGAAGGTTTTGAGCTTGAAGCCTCTGGTTCTATTTGATGAAGGTCCTCGATCATATCGATGAGCTGGAGCAGGGATAAATCAATTATCTGACACTGAAAATAACTGCAATTCGTGGTTAGTGGCCTTCTTCTAAGATTTATGACGGTTGCATGCTGCTCTGGTGACATCAACTTGTCTGATGACGCGTTCCTAGTCATTTAAGGAAGTGCAAGATTCTCATGCTTGGTTAACTACGTGGTAGATGCGCTTCAGGAAGCGATGAGCCCGAGCTTTAGAGGGGTTGTTGTGTGTTGGGAAGTAGTTATCTCGAGCCCCAACAAGCTGGACTGAATTGGGCTTCAAAGTGAGTGGATGAGTGTTCCACGCCTTTCTGTAAATGAAAATAGATTGGTACTATAATAAAATTTATCTTTATTTTTGACCTAAACAACAAATGTAACTACTCTTAATCACTTAAGAAGCACAAATATT